GTACTCTTTTTTCTCAAGCCACCCCTCTTTCTTTGAGGTTCTATGTGCACTCAAAAAAATTCTCAAGGATATCATAGAATAGGATAATGAAATCAGCAATGCCAAAAAGTGTAATGGAATGAATACACCATGTGAGGTGAGTACTTAAGTAGAAAGGGAAAAAAGAGATCACCAACAGAAAAATAATACAATGACAGGAAAAGGAGGCTATTTTCCAGGAATAACTTTCAATATCAATGGTCTTGATTCTCCAGTCAAAAGATACAGATTAGCAGATTGGATCAAAACATAAAACCTAACTGTATGTTTTATAGAAGAAATACATTTTATCAAAAATAAATTAATAGACCAAAAATCAAAGGAAAATAATAGTCCATGCAATAGGAGCCCATGCCCCAAAAATCCCAGAAGTTATCCTATTTTCAAACAAAGTGCACTTCAAGCCAGAACTGATCAGAAAAACCAAAGAAAGTCTCTATAGATTTATTAAGGGAACAATTCAATAGGAATATGTACCAATCATAAAAATATATGTACCAAATATCAGTACACCCATCTTCATGAAGCAAACAATACCAGACAAGGAAGATGAGATAAATACTAATATAATCATAGTAATGAACCTTAATTGCACATTATCAGAAATAGAGTAAGTGAAACAAATCAACAAAGAAATATCAGAGTTGAATAAACAGATTAAAAGACATCTGCAGAATGTTCCACCCAGTAACAATAGAATTCACATTCTTCTCAGAAACAGATGAAGCTTTTTCCAAAATGCACAGCACTGTAGCCAATAAAGCATACTTAAGTAAAAGCAAAAGAATCAAAATTGCCCTATGAATATTATCAGATCATAATGCATTACAACTAGAAAGCAATGACAAACAAAATCACAGAAATCGTGGAGCTTAAACAATACATTCTTCTCTTTAAAAAAGCAATACATTCCTGAATAATCAGTGGGTCACAGAAAAAAAATCAAAGAAGAAATTAATTCCTAGAATCAGACACTAATGCCCTTATGACACACCAGAAACTATGGGACACAATGAAAATAGTCCTAAGAGAGATTATAGCTTGGAATGCCCATGCTATGGTTTGTGTCCAAATGTCCCTACAATGGCTCATGTGGTCACAGGACTTTTTCAGAGGTAGCTGAATATAGAGTGTGTGATTGATTCATGGTGTAGTGCTGGGGTAAGGGTATGAGAGCTATGTCTGCCCTAGGGCAGGTAGCCTGCATACAGTGTAAGGCAATATAAGGGAACAAAAAAGGCTTGTTGGCTTGTTCTCTCTCTCTCTGTCTCTCTGTCTATGTTTCTCTGTCTCTCTCCCTTTTTCTTTTGCTCTCTCTTTCTGTCTCTCTGTCTCCACTGTTGATTTTGCTGTCTTCCACTGCCATGAACTGTTGCTCCTCTGCCATGTGCTGCTCTGCCTTGGCCCCAGCTGATTATGGACTGAAACCTCTACAAACTGTGAGCTAAATAAACCTTTTCTCCTTTAACTTTGGTGTTGGGTATTTTGTCTCAGCAACAAGGAATGTAACTAAGAGCCCACATCAGAAAAACAGAACTAGCCTGAAAAGTAATGATGCATCTCAAAGTCCTAGAAAAAAGTAGCAATCCAAGTCTAAAGCTAGTACAAAAAAGAAATTATAAGGAGCAGAGCAGAAATTACTAAATAAAAAAGCATACAGAGAATCAATGAATCCAAGAGCTGGTGTTCTGAAAGAATGAACAAAATACACAAGCCCTTAGGTGATTTTAACAAAAAAACTACATAAGAGCAACCAGAAATTAAAAAGGTAAAATCCCAATGGACATGACCATTTTTAGTAACTTTTCAAAAATCTGCATTCCAACAAATTAGGGAATCCAGAAGAAATGAGTATATTTCTAAATATATACACATTGCCAAAACTGAACCAAGAAGACATGAAAATTCTGAATAATCCAATAATCGGCAATGAAATTGAGGCAATAATTAAATAAAAACAAAACTACCAACTAAGGAAAGCCTAGGATCTGATGGTGTCACCATTAAATTCTACAAAAACCCCAGGGAAGACACAATGTCAGCATTCCTCAAATTCTTTAATGAAACTGAGGGAAGGAGCACTTCCAAATTTATTCCTGAAAATGAACATTGCCAAAACCAGACAAGGACTAAACTAAGAAAGAAAACTACAGACCAATCTCTTTCATGAACATAGGTGCAAAGATCCTCAACAAGATCCTGGCAAACAGAATGCAACAAAACATGCCCAAGTAGACTTCACTCCAAGGATACAAAAATGGATTTTTGAGGAATCTCCATACTAATTTCCAAAGTGGTTGTACTAGTTTACATTCCTACCAATAATGTGGAAGGGTTCCTTTTTCCCCATAGTCACACAAGCATTTGTTACTGTTAAACTCCTTGTTGATAGCAATTCTATCTGCGGTAAGTTGAAATCTCAGTGCTGTTTTAGTTTGTGTTTTTCTAGTGGCCAGAGATGTTGAACATTTTTTCATATATTTATTGGAAATTCATACTTCTTCTGACAAGTGTCTATTCATTTCAGTTTCCTTTTTTTGATTGTCTTTATTTTGGGGGTCATCTAAATTTCTGTGTTTTTCATGTACTCTAGATATTAGTCCTCTGAGGAATAGCTGGCAAAATTTTTTTCCATCCTGTAGGATTTCTCTTCATTCTGTTGCTTGGATCCTTTGCTATGCAGCAGCTTTTTAATGTGGTATACTCCCATTTGTCATTTCTTGATGTTATTTCTTGTGCTATTGGAATTCTGTTCACAAAGTCCTGTAACTATGACTTTGAGAGTTTTACCTATTTTATCTTCCAGCAGGTTAAGTGTTTCTTTTCAATGTTTAGATCTTTGAATCATTCTGATTTTAGTTTAGTGTATGGTTAGAGATGTATGTCTAACTTGTATCTTCTGCATGTGGATATTTAGTTTCCCAGCACCATTTGTGAAAGAGGCTTTCTTTCCCCAGGATATATTTTTGGTCTCTTTGTCAAAGATCAGGTAGGTAAATCTGTCTGGAGTTGTTTCTACATCCTCTATTCTGTTCCATCAATCCACGTCAGTTTTTATTTGAGTACCATGCAGATAAGATTCAAAATATGGATCAGCAGTTTCAACTACAGCTACATATCAGAATCATGAGTGGGGGAACATTTTTTAAATCCTCATGACTAAGCCACCATGCCATGAAATTCAATCATTACACTGTCAGTGCATAGACAGGAGAATTTTAAAAAACTCCTCAAGTTATTTTTGATATACAGTAAAGACTGAAAGCACTGATCTAGACAGGAATAGAAAATCGGTGTTGACTTCTTGGAAACTTAAATATAAGTGTTAATAGTAGAAATAAATGCCCTGTAAGGGGCTGGGGATATAACTCAGTGGTACAGCACTTACCGGGCAAGCACAAGATCCAGAGTTCAATTCTCAGAACCAAATAAAAATAAATAAAATAAAACAAACAAAATAAGTGAAATTTTTTTAAAATGCTGTGTCAGATCAGCAACACAAACCGTGGGCCAGATTAGTAGCATGGAGGTAAGGGATATAATAAAGATCTAGAATTTGTGAAGATAAAGCTAAGATAAAAATTAGTGCCTTGGCTTGTTATTATAACATGATAGCAATTTGAAAGATTTGGAAAGATGTGATTTTTTAGTAGAGAAGCTCTGTGATAAAGTGAAGCAAGCAAAGATACAGGACAGTTAAAGGACATAAATAGTGCAATGTCATGAGAGCCAGGTGTATGGATGAGGCAACTGTTTTAAAGCAATTGTATCAAAACTCATCGATAGATAATGTAGAATAAGAATTGAGATGGGATCAGTGTATTCTACCAATATTTTGAGAAAAATGGAAGGAATTGGGTGATAGAAGATGCTGGAGAGATCATGCGCAAGTTACCAGGGGAATATAGAGTTTGAACTTAAATGGGGAACCCTCAGGCTTGTGGCAGTGCATAGGAATCATATTAGGGTGTTGGAAGAACAGAAATGGAGATCAGCAATGTTGGAGGTGCTACAAGGATGCTGTGTCCTTCTCAAGGTGCCTCTTAGCATTCTCATACACTTGGAGGTATGGATATCCAGGAAATTGTCAGCAAACAATTCATTACAATGTGCTTGAGAGAAGCTGCATTTCAAATGGGATAAAGTACTAAAGTCATTGCACAAAGGTGAAAATTGCCATTTTGAGGTATTAAGAGGTACCAAATTGGAGGACAATGTTCCAGTAACCAATAAGATAAGCAAACCCATTTTTCTCGACTGCTGAAAGAGTTCATTTTTATCCTTTCATGCAGCAAAATAGCTTGCATTTTTGAACTGTATTTTGTTTACAAAAGACATATTGAACTGCAAGTATTTCAGCTAGTCCTAAAATGCATTAGAATTAGATGATCACACTGTGAGAGGTCCATGGAAATTGAGACTGAGATACGGAATAGCAGAATCCTGATTATCACTTCACACTCACTGCTGCACATAAATTTGTTCACTCAGTGGGATAAGTAGTAAATGTGCCAGCTTTATTTGTCTAAATTGTCTTCTACTTACTTTCTGATATGCACCAGTACACGCCTATAAAAAGCACAAAACATTAAATGGGATTATGATTAACTCCACTGTCCTCGCTTTTGTATATAATTTTACAATTGTGTCCTCATAGTCCATCAAAACTTCCAAATTAAAGGTACCCAAGCTTACTGACTCATTTATAACTACTTAATAACTGAAGCTAAATGGCCAGTGGAGGGGATCCCAGAAGCATACAGATGAAGGAGTCTAGCACACATGTGTGTGGGAATGTGGAATTTTCACAATTCCATTAGAACACAGCACTGACAGGGGTCAAATCTGAAGGTCCTTCAGGTTTCTAGGCCATCATTCTCATGGCTGTTCTCCAAACCACGCATAACTGAGATCCATTGATGCTTTTTCTTACTCACCAAATATACCCCACAGCAGGTTAATTAGGAATTCACTCTCCCCTCTCTCAGCAGCTTGTGGAGTGCACCTTTCACATCCTTATTACGGAAACTATAAACAAGTGGGTTGGCTAAAGGGGTAATAGCAGTGTACATTACAGCAGCTGCCATGTCCTGATCCTGAGAGTTCTGGGAAGGAGGTTGGAAGTAGACCCAAATGATGGTGCCATAGAGGAAGCAAACCATGGTAAGGTGGGATCCACAAGTGGAAACTGCTCGCAGGCGACCAGCAGCTGAAGGCAAACTTAAGATGGTGGCCCCAATCCGGGCATAGGACAGTACAATGAGGGCACAAGGACCCAGCATGAGAAAGCCACCTTCCAAGAATATGGCCAGCTCATTGGGATGGATGTCAGAGCAAGAGGCTCGCAGAAGTGGCCGGTGGTCACAAAAGAAGTGAGGAAGGCTGACGTGGCCCCCGGAATCCCCGACCCAACACAGGGGCAGGATGAGACCCACATGCAGCATGGTGTGCACTATGGACACCACACAGCTCAAGGCCAGTAAACGAGCACAGAGCTGGTAATTCATCACCAAGGCATAGCGCAGAGGGTCACAGATGGCCACATAGCGATCCAGAGCCATGACAGCAATGACAAGTGTATCTGAAACTCCAAATACATAGAAGAAAAAGAACTGAGCCAAGCAGTGGGCAGCAGGCATGGCTGGGTAACCAGAGGCCAGATGGACCAACAACTGAGGCAAGGTTACTGTGGACAGACTCAAGTCTATCACAGAGAGGCCACGGAGCAAATAATACATAGGAGAGTGGAGCCTGGGATCCCGGGAGATGAGCAACACCAGAGTCACATTCCCCAATACGGTGGTCAGGTAAATAGTCAAGAACAGGAAAAAAAGGAGACCAAGGGGGATGCCAGCTCTTGAGAACCCAAGGAGCAAGAAGATTGGAGAGTGTGAAGCGTTAGGGGCACAACTCATGATGAATGATGGTGACCCTGCCTGAAAGAGATTTTAAGTGGAAAAAACAAGTCAGAGATCAGAGGTCATGGGTTGTAACATGTCTACTTAACTTAATTATGCTCTTGGAGATTCTTAAAGGCATAAACTTAATTCTACCCATTCTCCTTCCTCTAGATCACTCCTTGTACAGTAGCAGTGTCTCTCTTGTTTCTTCCCTTCACTACTTAGTGGCTCGTACCATCTAATCCACGAAACTGCTTCAGTCCTTCCCACAGGGAGAGATTCTTCATTAGTTCTTATATTTTCATCCAAACTCTTGTTTATCTCCTACAGGTGGCAAGCTTCATGGGATAATTGCCTATGCTCACTGTCTTCAGCTTCTTATTTTCTCTTCTTAGTTCACTCCACTGCCATCCTCATGATTTCCTCTCTCTGAACCTGTACAGAACACAGTGTACTACAGTACTCAAATGTATAACAGATAAAGGAGTGGTTCTTTCAAAGTTGCTGACTTGTACAGTGAAATTGCAATCAACCATCATGAAATTACTTGCCTTCCCTCTTTCTGCCTGTATTCGTTGATACCATTTTCATTACCAACTTCCTGATGCACAAACCAAAATCTGAGAGAGTCCCTTCCCTTAACTCCCTGAATCCAATCACTCTTTGATTTTTATGCTTTCTCTAACATTCACCCTTTTTTCTTAGTCCACTATCCCAAGTTGAGCTTCAGTATTCCTGACCAACATTAATTTCTGCAATTTTGTAATTTATGTCTCTACTTATCTCCCTCAATAGGTCTTTCAGTATAAAACCGGTCTTCCTGTGCCAGGGTCAAACTTTTGACCTGTGATATCCTGGAATTTAGGGTCAAATACAAAATTAAAGATCAAATTACTCAATCTGTTTCAGATTATAAATTATGTTCAAAGTACTTAGTGCCTAACAGAAGGAATAAACATTAAAGGAATGAGGGTACTATAAAGACAAAATAAAGCATATTTGAAAAGAGCCAAAAATATAACTGCTAGAATATTATTAAAAAGACATTCAAATTGCAAACTCAGTGTGTGGTTTAGACAATGACTAAAGAGAAATCTTGGAGAAAAACCCCTAGAACACAGTACAGTGTGACCAAGGTGTGAATAATGTGAAAGAGGAGTTAGGAATTATAGAAAGTGAGAAGATCCACCACACATCAAAAAAAAAAAAAAAATCTAAGGAAAAAACTGAATATCCACAAGCAAAAGAATGAAAGTACCATTTATCTTACACCATACACAAAAATCAACTCAAACTGGATTAAAGCCCTAAACCTAAGCCTGAAATCATAAAACTCTGAGAAGAAACCATGAAGTGGGAGAAAGGGGAAATACCTTGATCCTGGTCATGACCATGATTTTTCAGATATCCCACCAAAAGTTCCTGAAACAAGAGCAAAAATAATCAAGTGGGACATCAAACTAAAAAGTTTCTGCATAGCAGAGGAAACAATGACCTGAATGAAAAGACAGCCTACAGAGTAGGAGAAAATGTTTATGAACCATATGTCTAGTGAGAGTTTAATATCCAAAATATATAAGGAACTCACATGCCATAGGAAAAAAATCTTGTTAAAACAAAGGCAGGAGACCTAAATAGATATTACTCCCAAGAAGCTGTACAAATGACCAAAGGGTTCACGCTGGTCACTCTAAAATGGTGTTTCACACCACTAATCATCAGGAAATGCAAATCAAAAAATCAAAATCGCAATGAGGAATCACCTCACATATGTCAGGGTGGTGAATTACAGAAACAAGGCAAGAGATGGCACAAGTGCTGGTGAGAGTGTGGATAAAAGGGAAACCTTGTGCACTGTTGGTAAGAATGTAACTTGGTGAAGCCACTATGGAAAGTAGTATGAAGAGTCCTCAAAAATTACAGGTGGAGCTATGATATGAGCCAGCAATCCCTCTTCTTGGTATATACCTGAAAGGAAAGATATCACCACCTTGTAGACACATCTGTATTCATACTCACTGAAGCTCTATTCACAATATTCAACATATAGAAACAACTTTAGAGGCTTTCAGCAGATGAATGGATAAAGAAATTATGTGATATTATTCAAGCATGTAAAGACATAGAAACAGAGAGTAACAAGGTGGTTTCCAGGAATAAGAGAGGGAAAATAAATGGACAGACATGGGTCAAATGGTAAAAATTGTAGGTATATGTAACAAAAAATTGTAGAGGACTAATAATATACTACATGAGGACTACGATTAATATTGCACTGAATAGCGTATGTTGGAAATTTGTTAAGGCAGGATATTTAAGATGTTCTTACCACAAACACAGAGGTAATTGTATAAGATGATAGGTATGTTAGTTTGCTTGACTTTAGTAAACATTTCATGATGTATAGCACATATTAAATAATGTTGCATACCTTAAATATAATCAATTTCTTCAATGCAAAGGAATAATATTGTGGAAGTATAGAGAAAGGTAATATTGAAAAGACACACACTGAAGTTTGCCAGAATTAGTAAAAGAAATGAATTCTCTTATTTAAAAATCACAATAACTCCCAAACAAGTCAATTTTTTAAAAATTCCATACATAGATACCATTCTATAAAAGCCACTGAGCAGCAAACACAAAGAAAATATATTAGAAGCAACCAGAGAAAAAAGAATGATTGGCAATAGAGGACAGATAGTTAGACTGACAGAAGATTCATTCTCTATAAATGACTAGAAAGTAGTTTTTTCAAAATGCTCAGAGAAAAACAGCCAAATGCAAATGCAATACCCCTTTAAACTATCCAAAAAATATAAACATTTTTACACATGCTCTTCTCTTTCTGACAGAAGGCACTCTGATCCTCTCAGGGCTCAAACTCCAATTCCACCAGCAAACCAGTGAAAAACTGCTCATGTGGAAAGACCCAGTCCAGCTTCATTTCTACTTGGGTCATGCACAGCATTTTCCTAGAGGACTTGTTACTTTTCCATTCACTTTGTAGCTCACATCTGGACTGTCTTCCAATGTCAAGTCTACACTGGAATCTATACGTGGATGCATATACAACACATATACATGTATACATTTCTATATATGCACACACATGCATGTATATGTACACATATACATTATACCCACTAATCACTGACCTCCTAAATCCTTTTTTTTGTACTGGAAATTGAACTCAGAACCTTGTGCTTGCCAGGCAGCTGCTGACCTCCTAATTCCTAAAACCTAGCACAGGTCTGAGACATTACTGATGCTTATTAAATATTTTTTAAATAAATGAAAGACGTTTTCTCTTAAAGGTCAGTTGCTAGAAGTTAGTACAAGATTTTGGAGTCAGCTATGTCCAAAATATGATTTGTTATCTCTATAAGATCTCTTATTTTTCATGTGATCTCAAACGACTTACATTTTTTCATCTGTCAAATGGTGATCAAACAGTATCCACTTCATAATGTGGTGAAGATTAAAAAGAAAATCTCTAAAAACAGTAGTTTTTGAAGGAGCAGAACTTTGTGGAGGCAAGGCAGGAAGTAAATTTTTGACATGACTGTTTTTGAAAAATCACATTCCACGTAGTAAAAATGCAATCCAAACAAATATAAAATAAACTTTGATCCTGCAATAATTTAGACCTTGCTTCCTTCCTCGGTAGCAGTTATATTCTTCTTATTCAGAAACCTGAGTGGAAAGGAGAGATGTGGCTAATTTGATCATCTTATCTACCCTTGTTTATAGGTTGTCTCTGGCTCTTGCAGCACTGAAAAGACACAGGAAAAGGAAGGTCACATTGAGTGCTGTGATTGGCACAGATGGCAAAAGAGAATCTTCCTCATGCAGAGAACCACACGGGCTCATTTGAGACCATCTACAGGTAAGTCCTTCTTCATTTTTCTCAGGGAAAGTAAATTCAAACCTTGGCGGACACCTTAGAACCTCCACCCCTATGCAGTCTCACATCTGACTGCACCTCTTTAGACTTCATCTAGAATTCTTCACTTGAAAAAGCTCTCTTAAGGGATTTGCTTTTCAAGGTAACAGAGTTTGTGTACCTCCTTTTAGCCAAAGAAAAGTTAGTATAAGGAAAACTTACATGTCTTTACCTCAATAAATTTCCTTAAATGTAGCTCTTCCTAACTGTTCCATATGCACTGTCAGGAATTGCACTTGGCCCCACCTCCAAAACTTTCTTTAAGTTCATTTTTAGCTTCCAAATATATTTTCTTAAACTATATTTTCATTATCAATTTCTAACTTAGTAGCAATTTGGCCAGAACACTTAATGTCTGGTAACTCAGAAGTTTTCTGAGACTCCTTTCTTGACTAATATAGTGCTATATGGGCCTGTGGGGTACAGAGGACAACCCTAAAAGCAAACTCACAACTTGTAGATGGCACTCTTGGTGTATGAAGGATAGATCATCCAGTTAAATATTGTTGTTCAGCCATATATACAAATTTTATCTTGTCATTCTCTTGTACCATATACTCCACCTGAAAGTTGCATGCATTGACAAATATGAATCCTTTTGAGCATTTTCCTTCCCTTTCACAATGTCTGTCATACCTCCTAGTTTTTATTCACTCTTTCAGGTTCTTACACTGGTGAGACCGTACATTGCTTACACATGCAGGTCTGATTTATTTCACTTATGAATATGGTCTCTAGTTGTGATCATATGTGATACAACAACCATTGTTAATTTCCTACCACTTTGTCTGTAATTGCTTGTATTGTCCTTATTCTATTTTGTAAATGGATGTCTGTTTGTTAATATGTTTTCCTTCTTTTACTTCTAAAATAAAAAATAATAAATCCTCATAATATCCTGTAATGTTAACTGGAAGAGACCCATTTTAAATGAAAAAAACATGTTAATTTTTAAACATGAAAAATTATTGTTATTTCCATAAAATACACATATATACTGAAGTTGTTAAAAACATGCACAGGGATAATGACTAGTTAGGTTAGCAGATAGCTTTGGGGGAGGAGGAAA